TTTTTTTTTTTTTTTTTCCAAATTCAGGTTGAAGCCATTGTGTAGAAAACAATCTGGAAGGGAGGAGATTGTCTACAAACCACTTGGGGCCCTCAAAAGAACCAGAAAGAGGTGCACATCAGAAGGTACGAGTAGCTTTCATTATTAATACAACTTTTACTATTGCTTTTAAACTTATACTCTATATCTTTCCGTTAAGGCTCAGACGGTGATAACGACCTGTTTGAGGAGGTTTCCACAGCTCCAAGGCGGCGAAAAATGACAGTGACCGACCTGACCAAGGTTGCCATTAGTGAACAGCCTCGTAGCCCCAAAAAAGATTCTCATGATACGGACCCAATGTTTTCCTTCATAGAGCCCTGTCTTGCCACACACTCTACCAATTACATGGACTGCACTGAATCAAATGATGACGACGATGACGATAATGATAAAGATGATACCGAGCAACCTCCTATACCTCACCCATCTGATGTTGCTCCACCTCCTCCACCTTGCACAGAAATGCCATCCTCAAAACTGACTCCGTCAGACCCATCCCAATCCAAAACAACTCCGCCTTGTTGGCAAAAGTTCTTCAAGGCGGAACCAGTGTTGACGGATGAGGGCGAACTGGATAACAGTCAGAACAGCCACAACACTCAAACACTCTCCACCGAAAACACAGAGTCCCAGTCGCCTGAGCTGTTTCAGGATGAAGATGAGGATGACAGCAGCTCTGTTCACTTGACTTCCTCACAGTCCACTCATATATCGGACGCAGGGACGGAGAGCCTCAGTCAAATGGACACTGTTCTTGTCCAAGTGGATGAAAGTAAGGCCGTTACTAGTGAGCAGAGTAACCGAGGGACCAATGGCGAGGTGGTGTCAGATGTGATTGACAGCCGTAACGTCGAACCCAAAGAGGAAGAAGCCATGGAGCCGAAATCAGACTCACAGGTATCATCAGATTTTGAGCTACCACCAACACCAGGGTCCAAAGTCCCACAACCAGAAGACCTGAAGGAACTGTACAGGAAGTTGGCAGCAGGGGAGGAAGTGGTCATAAGACAGATTTTTTGATTTCATGTTTGAATATTAATTTCTGGTTTGTTGTAAGACAGCTTACCTCATGGAGTTTTTTATCTTTATAAATATAAATTAAAAGTTCTCAAGCAAATACAAAATGTTTATAAATGTTGTTAAAGTAAACCTATTAAAAGTAGTGCTGTCAAGCGATTAATCGCATCCAAAAATAAAAGTTTTAGTTTACATAATATATGAGTGTGTACTGTATATATTTACTATGCATATATAAATACAACCACATGCATGTATATATTTAAGAGAAATATGTTATGTTTATATATTTATATATAATATAAAACATAATCATATAAATATATAAATATACATGTAAATATTTTCAAAATTTATACTGTATGTGTTTGTATTTATATATACATAATAAACAAACACAGTACACATATTATATAAACAAAAACTTTTATTTTGGATGCGATTAATCACGATTAATCGTTTGACAGCACTAGAAAAAACACATCCAAAATACACATTTAAGTGTTTTAACTTATCTATTTGCGTCTGTAGTTTTCGAATACAATATGTATCTTCTGTGAGTATTTTCTCCACTTCAGCAGCACTTACACACACCAAACATAGAAGGCCCATGTCTAATTTGCACATTTAAACATTACAACACTACATAAACGCTTGCAATTCTTATTGTTTTCAATTCTTAAATAGTCTTTTTTTTTTACCCTATTGGCCTATGTTGTTTTGAATTAAATACACTAAATTCAGTGACTGGAATCTGACACACAAACTGAAATCAGGCCCATTAATATCTAAAAAAATGATTTTCAAAAGCCTTCTTCAGTAACCACAGCTGAATATGGAAATTTAAAATGACCCTGTTTTGATGGCAGGAGGAAAGACACGAACGAAGGACAAATACAGAGTGGTGTACAGTGATGTCCAGCGCTTGGAGCTGGAGAAGGAATTTCATTTCAGCCGTTACATCACCATCAGACGGAAGGCGGAGCTCGCGGTGGCCCTGAGCCTATCAGAACGCCAGGTAGGTTGATGGAGGAAGGAAAAGAGGAAGTTAAACCAACCTGTGAGTTCATGCTGTGAGGTTCATCTAATTATAACCGAGTTTCTTGTGAAAGGACGAGATGTCTCTCTACAGAATTAGATACATGTATCGTGATTTGCAATATATTAGAAACCACAACACCTAGAATACATGTGCTGCATCTTTTAGAAAGAGGAAGATGATATTCAGTGCCTTTTTAAAATCCCATTACTCAGTTCTATAGAAACGGTTAAAAGACAATGCAATATGTTTAGGATAATGAAGCTTGTTAAGATGGTTTTCCATAATTAAGTGCTTTATCCAAATTCTCATAACTTTAATGCAAAAAAAAGTGGAAAAAATCATTTTTATACATATATATATATATATATATATATATATTAGTGCTGT